CCCTGGGTCTACAAGACTCTACCTTCAGGCCCCCCCCAAGGCCCCCCCCACCCCTGCTCTTACCTCCCCCAGCCCAGTGCCTTCCAAATGCTGCAAAATACCTGATCATGGCAGGTGGGAGGCCAGAGGGGGAGGGGCTGAGCCCCAGACCCTTTCCCCTCCCCCCCCCTCTTTTCAGCAGCACTCACCTGTTTTTCCCCTGGGTTCTCCAGCCCTGGAGCACCCACATCATCAGTGCCTGTGGTTCAAATCACATCCCCCTCCCCCCATGCTTCCCCTTCCAGGGTCCTGCCAGGCTTGCAGAGATGTCAGCATTACCTGTGTGAAGTTACAGACAGGTTAGCAACACCTTTACTCAGAGCCACCTGGCAGATACCTCAGCACTCACCTGTTTTTCCCCTGGGTTCTCCAGCCCTGGAGCACCCACATCATCAGTGCCTGTGGTTCAAATCACATCCCCCTCCCCCCATGCTTCCCCTTCCAGGGTCCTGCCAGGCTTGCAGAGATGTCAGCATTACCTGTGTGAAGTTACAGACAGGTTAGCAACACCTTTACTCAGAGCCACCTGGCAGATACCTTCCCTCAGTTTCCACACTCCTGACATATGTGGGCTGCGGGACGCCCGCCTTGGCTTTTGAGGGGCAGAGAAGTGGCCAGAGATAAGAGGAAGGAGCTGTGATAGTGTGTTCCCAGCATGAGCAGAGCCTCCCTGCAACAGACTTCACTCTCCTGGCATGAATCAGCTGTATGAGGGCCTTGCCTCTGCCAACACTGGTTGATTGCAATAGCCCAGCCCCCAAACTGAACTGCTCAGGTCTGTGACAGGGTCTGGCAGCAGGAGCAGGGCTGCCAGAAACAGAGCAATCCCCATCCCCAGCATGTGGCAGGGCCCAGCCTCCACTCCCAGCTCAGTTGCTTAATTGGTGACTTGGTTCTAGGAAGTGCCTATGTGGGGAAGTATATTTGGCAATGGCTAGAAGTGGCGAGAAGCTGAAGTTAGACAAATTCAGACTGAAAATAAGGATGCAGACTTTTAACTGTGGGACTCAGTAAGCTTTGGAACAACTTGCCAAGGGTGGTTGTAATGGGTTTTCCCTCACTGACGAACTTTTCACTCAAGACTGGATGTTTTTCTAAAAGCTCTGTTCTGGGAATTAAGCTGGGGAATTTCTATGGTCTCTGGCATTCACAGTGGTCCCTCCTGGCCTTAGTATCTATGAAAAGTGCATTCAGTTCCTGGGGGATACCTCATACATGCTCATAGTGGAGGTTACCTAGATCCTGGAGGATAGGGGGAAATGCACTGGGTTGGGGCAGGACCATGGCATTTGGTTCTGTAGAACCTTGTGAGGTTCATGCCCTAGAAGCGGGTTGAAAACAACATGGAGATTTTGTTCAAAGGGGAGGAGAAGGATCTTCCTGCCTCACAGGGTCCTGCCTCACCCACACAAAGAACTGCCTTGTTTCTCTTTAAGCCTTTGGATCTTGCATGGCCTCTGCTGGTCTCTGCCCTCTTGGGTGCCTCACAGGCATGAGGGGCAGGTTCATAGGGATGAGTAACTTGGGGCCCATGCAGAGCCCCTGGCTTCTGTGCTCTGGCTTTGTGCTCCAGAGTCCCTGTGCTAGCAGCCAGCTCACATGGGGGGAATGGGGTGCAGTGTTCAAAGGCTTGGGATAAGCAGTCTGGTTTCCCCTCAAGAGGCTGACTCCATCCCATCTCCTTTACCTTCTTGCAAAGTACCCAACCTGAGACCCCCTCCCATGCCAGCAAACCTGCGAATCTATGGGGGAGCCAGGGAAACCCCAGAGTGAAGGGTGTAGTCTTGTGCTCCCTAGTCTGAGAGACCATGGAGGGACACCCTGCCCTCAGCCAGCTGCCATTCCATGGGCTTACCAGCCATTGCTTTGCTGGGCTGGCTTCCCCCTGTGAACACACCGGTGGCCTAGTGAGTCTAGTCAGGTCAGTGACTGGGGCCAGTGCAAGAGGCTGCTAATTAAAGAAGCTGAAGACAGCAGGATCTGTGAGATCCCATGCCCCAACTTCTCTAACTTCTTCTGCCAGGAAAGATAATGGAGCAAGTAATTAAAGAACTCATCTGCAAACACCTGGAAGATAAGGTGAGAGGTAACAGTCAGCATGGATTTGTAAAGCACAAATCATGTCAAACCAATCTGATAGCTTTCTTTGATAGGATAACGAGTCTTGTGGGTAAGGGAGAAGTAGTGGACATGCTATACCTAGACATTAGTAAGGCATTTGATACGGTCTCGCATGACCTTCTTATCAATAAACTAGGCAAATACAACTTGGATGGGGCTATTATAAGGTGGGTGCATAACTGGCTGGATAACCATTCTCAGAGAGTAGTTATTAACGGTTCACAATCCTGCTGGAAAGGCATAACAAAAGGGTTCCGCAGGGGTCTGTTTTAGGACCGGTTCTGTTCAATATCTTCATCAACCATTTAGATACTGGCATAGAGAGTACGCTTATTAAGTTTGATATGAAGCTGGAAGGGGTTGCAACTGCTTTGGAGGATAGGGTCATAATTTAAAGTGAACTGGACAAACTGGAGAAATGGTCTGAGGTAACTAGGATGAAGTTTAATAAGGACAAATGCAAAGTACTCCACCTAGGAAGAAACAATCAGTCTCTCATATACAGAATGGGAAGCGACTGTCTAGGAAGGAATACTGCAGAAAGGGATCAGGGGTCATAGTGGACCACAAGCTAAATGAGAGTCAACAGTGTGATGCTGTTGCAAAAAAAGCAAACATGATTCTAGGATGCATTAACAGGTGTGTTGTGAGCAAGACATGAGACGTCATTCTTCCGCTCTACTCTGCGCTGATTAGGCCTCAGTTGGAGTATTGTGTCCATTTCTGGGCACTACATTTCAAGAAAGATTTGGAGAAATTGGAAAAGGGCAACAAGAATGATAAAAGGTCTAGAGAACATGCCCTATGAAGGAAGACTGAAAGAAATGGGCTTGTTTAGTTCGGAAAGGAGAAGACTGAGGGGGGACATGATAGCAGTTTTCAGGTGTCTAAAAGAGTGTTACAGAGAGGAGGGAGCAAAAATTGTTCTCCTTAGCCTCTGAGGATAGGACTAGAAGCAATGGGCTTAAACTGCAGCAGGGGAGGTTTAGGTTGGACATTAGGAAAAACTTCCTGTCAGGGTGGTTAAACACTGGAATAAATTGCCTAGGGAGATTGTGGAATCTCCATCTCGAGATATTTAAGAGCAGGTTAGATAGATGTCTATCAGAAATGGTCTAGATGGTATGGGGTCCTGCTGCGAGGGCAGGGGACTGGATTCAATGACCTCTCGAGGTCCTTCCAGTTCTAAGTGTTCTATAATTCTATGATTCTTAAAAGCCTGAATGGCTAAAAGCAGAATCCCCCAGGCACGTTGACAGCGGCCCAGCCGGAAGCTCCAGATGGGCAGAGAGATCACCCCCTTGTGGCCAATACAGTCAGTGGGATTGTGTTGAGAGGGGGTCTGGCTAGGCTGCAGTAAAACCAAGCTGCAGCACACAGCCCCGTGCTGATGCCTGGCCTTTAAGACCACCCTGGGTTGGGCTCACAACAGAGGCCAAACATCTTCACTGCAATTTTATAGCCCTGCAGGGCTGAGTCAGCTGACCCAGGCCCGCTGCAGCTTTGTGGTGAGTCTCTTATTGCAGTGTAGAGAGAGCCAAGGGGACCGCAGGGTAATGGCAGACCTAGCACAACTAAGAATGGCCTCATTCCACTGCCCCTTGCTGGGATGCAGAGCTGGTTCTTATCCACTCAGGGACTGAGGCCCCTCTTCCCTCCTGGGGCCTGAGGCCCTGCCCAGCTCTTTCTCCTCCAGAGAATGCTAGATGTATGTGCACACTTACATGCTGGAGCAGTGTCTTTGTATATCCTCCTTCTGCATTCCCCTCCCCCCGCATGCTGCACACTGGGAATGTCTCATGCACTTCCGTACGCCTGAGTGCTTCTGATCTGAGGGCCCGCCCTGGACACAGCCCCTTGACAATGATTTTCCACTACGTGAATGAAAGGAAATGACTCACTGGGATATTGTGTCACCTCCTTGCCGCTGCTCCGGGCCTTACGCCCAGCACAAACGTTGGTTCACAGATGGGCAGTGGCTTTCTAGAAAGGGTTAGAAGCCGGCCTCATTGCCGGGCCAGACTGCAGAAGTGAGCTGA